CATATTTGTATGAAGTACTCCCACAACACCCTAGCGACACACATAGCAACGCTCTATCCTCACCACTAGAGGAACACTAGAAATCTCTCCCAAGGAACCCTAGGCTAGCAGGCATCATAAATCAGGCAACTCATCAATAAATCCTGAAGATCCCTAGCCTAACTCTAGCATGCTGTTCTATCAAAGCTCAATAAAACAATTGCCATGTATGATATTTTGGGGTTACTTACTGGCTCCGGCTGATCGTACCTCCGCGTCCTCCTTTACTTATTTTGAAAACCATTTTAATTTCTCTTTTTGAAAACTCTCCTCGATTTGAGACTGGAGTCACACAAGTGTCCCTCCAATTCACTCAAACCAAGGCTCTGATACCAACTTGTAACGTCCGAAGAGCACAACCAATTTAAAATTTTCAAAACAACACGATTTTCATTAAAATGTTTACAAAAAGGTTTTCAATACAATTCATTTAAGTATTCCCAGAATCATGTCGTTACGAAATCATAAGGAGCGGTACGATCGCGCCTTCGCCTTGCCACAGTCTCCTGAAGAACCTGAAAAACATTAAACCACAACTGTAAGCCCGAGAGCTTAGTGAGATACCCCAAGATACCAACCACGCATACGCCCTTCCAGGCTACGACCTTCCGGTCCAAAACATATAAATCATACATAACATAACAGAACATAGAACAACCATGCATATCGGGTCTAACGTGACTGGTCCGCCGTATCGGGCCTTCAGTCCTTCGGATCCATCCTCCGGGTCTAGTCATGTCCTTCGAGTCTACAGTGGGGTTGGTCCGCCCGCATCAGGCCTTCAACCCACCTGGTCCACTCTCTGAGTCTACAGTGTGACTGGTCCGCCCGCTTGGGGCCTACAGTCGGCCTGGTCCACTCTCCGAGCCTCGGCACGTCTGGTCCGCCCTCATGGGGCCTACAGCCTGTCCGGACCGCTCGCTGGGCCTTCGGAATAACCGGTCCGCCCTGGGTATCTTGGCCTACAGCACAAAGCAGGACCCGCCTCAACCCATCTCCAGTCCAAACAACCATGTGCACCAACATACATTCATATAACAGTCATAATCAGCAAACCGAGTAAACAGATCACATAGCATATCATTACTCTAACCGGGCTACCGACCTACCCGTTCACTAGCATAGCATTACTCTGCATATCGAGAACTGACCTTTACAAGGCCCCCTAGCATGTATCATCCTAACTACCAGGATGCAGACACAACCAACAACAACATGATAAACGTAACTAAATCTCAATACAATAAAGGGCCGGCCTTGGTGCCTTAGACCCTGTTGATATAGTGAGGATAACTCACCTCGAAACTGACGGCTGAAAAGATAAGATCCCGCTGCTTCGAACTCTGACACAACTCTTCCACTGAACATCAACAAAACCCAATAAATATCCATAATTACCAAAATACCCCTGGAAGACAACTGGTCAACCCTGGTCAAGGCAAAGTCAACCCCTGACTGACCCTACTCGTCGAGTCAACTGATGACTCGCCGAGTCCTTATGCTCAGACTTCCCTCAATTAGCGACCCAACTCGCCGAGTCACCCCAAGACTCGTCGAGTACAACACTCTGAGTCCACTCGCACCCCAACTCACCGAGTCGTCCCTCGACTCACCGATTCATCGACTCAACCAGAAATATTGGGACTTCCTTGACAAGACTCGCCGAGTCCAACCGGACTCGTCGAGTCCAAGGCCATCTTCAACCTACTCGCCGAGTTGTTCTTCCAACTCGTCGAGTTCAAGGCCATCTTCAAGCAACTCGTCGAGTCCACCCATGTGACTCGCCGAGTTCCACCGGTCTGAATCCATACAGAAGCATCTCAGGCCATGCAATTGATCCAGAACATAGATCCAGCCTCCTACAATCCAACCATCACGTAAAGTAGCAAACTTTACGTGAATCAAACGAGATCTAGGCCATTTCCACCTTAAAACCAAGGTTTGGGACATGATAGCTTCATTCATAGCACAAAGGTTGGGACTTTAATGCACTCAATGACTTCTCCACTCCAGATCTGAGGTAGCAACCTCAGATCCATCCTCCAACACCAAAATGTCACACAACCAAGCATCCCACACAACCCCAAATGATGAAACTAGGAATGCACAGCTTAAGGACGAAGATATTACCTCCAAAAGATGCCTCAATAACAGCTAAACACGAATCCAAGCAAAGCCCTTTGATCCAAACCACCTCTCCTTCAAGATTTCTCCAAGCAACACCTCTCCAAGTTCCAATTTGCTCCACCAATGCTCTTCTCCACGAGATTAGGTTTTCTGGAACTCAAGGGGGGAATAAGAGAGGCTGTGGAGGGGTATAATGTTCTTTATATAGGGCTCAACCCCGGAAATTAGGGTTTTCTTCATACAGCACCTACTCGCCGAGTCCACCTTTGGGACTCGCCGAGTAGGTCACTAGACACGCGACCCAACTGCGACCTGACTCGCCGAGTCCATCCATGGACTCGCCGAGTCACCCTCTAAACTTACACTTCCAGCCCTTCAATTCTACTCTTGCGATTCCGGGATGTTACATATATATATATATATATATATATATATATATATATATATATATATATATATATATATATATATATAGTCTTTTGTATTTATTTTATATATACATATTGTATTATGTATTTAAAATTTTGTATTATACATATAAATCTTATCCATATATTTAAATTTTAGAAAACATATTTCATGTATAAAAATCCAAAAAATCTTAAGTTTTACATATTTGGTTGGAAAAAGTCCTAACTTTTTTCTTTTAAGTAAAAATAATAAGTTTTCAAAAAACATTTCATTTATAGGAATGACCGTATATTGTTTTTACCGACCAAAACAAATATTAGCTTTTTTCCAACTACGCGTACAAAACTTAAAACTTCATTGGTATTCGTTTGGTTAATTTGAAATTAAAAAAAATAAATAAATAACCTCCTAGTTTTTATGCATACTCATCTTCTGCTCATACAAAATATTGACATGTGTAATCCATTAATTTTCTTTCTTAATATTCTTTGCGGAAATCTTCAGTATTGTCCTAGAATTCTGGCTCGTTTTACATTTTAGTCACAAATTATTATTTTGTTACAAAAAAAGTCCTAAAAACCTGTAAAATATTACATTATGGTCATTTTTTTACCTTTTCAACAAGTAACCCTGCCTAGGTGGCATGACAAGGTGGAAAGTAGCTGATGTGGCACAGCTGACGTGGCAACATTTCATTTATTTGAAAAAACTGAAGTTTCTATTGAAATCATAGAAAAAAACTGAAAAAATATACTAAAAGCGAAATAAAATATGATACAACCAATATGATATAGGCCTGGCAATCGTGTCGTGTTCGGGTTGGCGTGCCGTGGGTTGGTGGGTTGGCGGGTCAAAATATGCCAACCCAAACACGACCCATTTAAATATACAGGTCACGGGTTGGCGGGTCACGTGTTGGCGGGTTTGGAACATAAACCCATATATGACCCGCCAACCCATTTATTTATATGGGTTCATAGGTTGGCTGGTTTGTGGGTCAAATTTGGGTTCGTGGGTCCGAATTTTAGACATTTAAGTCTTAAACATCCAAATGAAAATTATAAACATTCATAGAAACATGTTACAGACTTAGCCTTATATGTTACGACTTACGACCTTAGACCATTCACCACGACTCAAAATGTCAAAACAGTCAAATTGTCTATGAATCAAAGGTATATATTATATAATACTTATTAAATATTCATACTTGATACATAAATACATTTAAAAATAAAATAATTTTTTTATTAAGAATATAAACGGGTTGACGGGTCAACCCGTTTAGTTTTTGAGAAACTCATATATGACCCGTTTAATAAACAGGTTGGCGGATTGACGGGTTAGCGGGTTGGCGGGTTGAAAAACTCAACCCAAACCCATTTATTTCGTGTCGTGTTGCGGGTCGTATCACGTGTCGTATCGAGAATTGCCAGCCCTAATATGATACAATAGCATAAAAATGTCATATAGTTTAAAACTCGATGATAGTAAAGATTCATATTTAAGGTCGATAAAGAAAATTTTGGAAGCGTTTAATACAAATGAAAGAAAAATAAAGGTTTTGTGTTTTTAAAATCCGAATGTTCCAGACATGATGATCATCTACGTAACTTAATAAAGTTGGATAATTTATTTAAAGAAATTTTCTAATATGTGTCCAATGATATATATATATATATATATATATATATATATATATATATATATATATATATATATATATATATATATATATATATATATATATATATATATATATATATATATATATATAAAAGAAGTACTAATTGAAGTATTAATTATGAAAAATAGTGTCATAATTAAATATGATAAATATTACATAATTATAAATAATATTCTTTATAACTAATGTAGTTTTATATTTAATTATGATAATATTACATATAATTAATGTTTATTATATTTAATTATAGTAATATTTCTTATAATTAATATTTCAGTTAATGCTTTATATATATATATATATATATATATATATATATATATATATATATATATATATATACTTTAGGATATATATTAGAAAATCTCTTTTTTAAATTATTCGTAATTATAATTATTGGTTATTTTTGTGATTATCCCCTCTAATCAGCCTATAATAAATGAACGTGGTGATACCTAAAATAGAATTATTTAAATAATGCAATAGAATTAATAAAAGTAATTTATTGTAAAACGAATTAAGTTTTATTATTATTATCGTTGTTGTTATTATTATTATTATTATTATTATTATTATTTGAAAATAAGAAACATTTAAATTACATTTTGTATTTGATTTTTAAAGAATTAAAAGAAGCGTAATACGTCATTCTCCCCAAATCCATTAAAACCCCATTAAACCCCACCTCCTTGTGAATTCTCACAAACCCTTTTTTTTACAACACCCATTGTGCTTCATGGAAGACGATGATACCAGCCATTCAAGCAATCAGTTCAAGGTTGATGGCGATCATAACACAGTTATTCAGCAATTTCTGCCTAACAATATATCCAGAAAGAGAGAACAGTTGTTTTGGTATGATATTCGAAGCTTCCCTGATTCGTTGCTTGTCGAAATTCTCGCTAGATTACCTCTCAAATCAATTTTTAGGTTTAAACGTGTCTGTAAGCATTGGCACACCCTAATTTCTCACCCTTCCTTTTGCCGATTCTATTTCTCAATTCTCAATTCGAACGCAGCGTCTTTCAGAATCTTGTATAGGTACATCTACCTATCGAATTTCAAAGAGCTTCTTAATCGTTTTCGCCCCGAAATCCACACATGTTCAGAATTCTCTCTTCTTTTTCTTTCTAGCATTGAAGAACACGAAGGACAACGACCTTATCAGTTTAAGGTTTTAGCTATGAGTAATGGTTTGATTCTGTGTTGTTTGTGGTCTTCATCACCATTTGTTTACTACGTCTGTGATCCAGTCACTCGCCAATGGATCGTTTTACCTACAAGTACTTCCCAATCGCAGCTTTTCTTCGGTGAAGGGCTTATTACTAGGGTTAATCAAGATCATATACTTACTGATTATACAGTTGTTAGGGTCAATTTTCCTGAATCTCAATCCAATCATCTGAATTTAGAGATGTTTTCATCCGAAACAGGCAAATGGGTTAGCTACAAGTTAAATTGCCCTACTCCCATCAAACTGCGGAAGATTCATGGTGGTGCCCCGATTCATTGTTACGGAGCTTTTCATTGGTTGACTCACAATCATGGCATAGTTGCTTTTGATCCTTACAAAGATTCGAAATCTGTTCGCCTGATTCCACTCCCACATGACAGAGATCTCGAAAGTGAGCATAATCACGATGGGCTTTATCGATTATTTGATGAATGGCATGGAACTCTTCGTTATTTCGAGGTGGCTGATGATCCCACCAAGTTGTATTTTCTGATCATGTGGAGTATGAAGGATTATGAGAAAGGAGAATGGTGTTGTGAATTTAAGGTGAGGCGTAGCGATCTTCATTGTAGAGATTTGGAATTGAGTAATTGGTTGTTGAAAGGGAAATTTCTTCCGATATTGTTTCATCCGTTGAATCTGAATGTTGTGTACTTGAGATGCATCGAGGTTGGTTGTATTGTGTCGTATGACGTTGTGAATAGAAGACTGGATGTTGTTTGTAAGCTGAATGGCGGCCTTGAAGATGGAGAAGTCTTTTCTTGGCGTGTGGTGATCCCGTTTTTGATACCAAGGTGGCCGCAACCTCTCCCCACCACCCCAAGATCTGTCACTCCACCACCACCACCACCACTGCGACCATGGTGAACTCAGTCGTGAGAAAGAGGATTCTTATCTCCTTTTTCTTTTATCAATAGCTGGGAAGTATGCAAGAAAAGCCCAACGTATTATACTCTTACACGTTGAAAACCCCGTTTGATATTTTGTTTAGAAAAACACAATCCATTATATTTCACCTTTTTAGAAAAACAAACAGTAGGTTTCATAACAGTGGGGCCAAACGTTTTTTATTCCTCGGATTTTACTCGTATGAACAAAGTACATCATTTTGCACATGGATAAAAATTGACCAAAAACCATAAATGACAACATACTTTTCATGTTTTTATTGTAACCCTTTGTTTGTGTTGTCACCATCTCAATGTCTTTTGGCTCCACCCCACTCTCGTCAACTTCGTATTTTTCATCATTTTCCAACACAATTGCCTCCTCTAAAGTAATTGTTGAGACCATACAACTCAAATCCAATGAAGTGCTTAGTTGCATGACTCTACAATTGTTAGCTCAAATCATCTATCTTTGCTTACCAAAAGGCATTTGGCTTAGCAGTAAAAAGTGATCCTTTCAAATGAGAGATAATGGGTTCAAATCTTTTAGGAGACATATATGGTATTTAGGAGTAAGTTTAAATAGTTTGACATTTCAAAAAAAAATCTATCTTTGCTTCACCAAATATCACATATGTATCTAAACTCTAAAGCAGGCGATTTGAATACATCAAGATTTGAGATCACAGACAAAATCTACATCATAATACTAATCATCTTGAATACATCAAGATTTGAGATCACAAACAAAATCTACAACATCATAATACTAATGATCGACAAGACAACAAACAATCAATATCATTGAAAACTAACTGAAGAAAATTAAGAAACTGACATTTTTGCTCTTTTTGATGGTAACACAACTCAAGCCACGAATGGGCTTCATCCCGAGCTTTAACATAGCCTTTCAACTTTTTTTTCACTTCTTCTTTGCTTTAACATACCACTTGCATCTTGTTGGCCTGCTAATTACAATACAAAAAAAAAAAAAAAAAAAAAAAAAAAAAAAAAAAAACAATTAACTTATGATCCTAACATACATAAATGATGTTGGACTACAAATATATGTAAATTCGAACCTACAGATGTGTGTTCTTTCTTGCATGAGTTGATGAGATGAGACATCTGCTTCCCATTCTTCCTCATAGCCGTTTTCAAGATTCAACTTTTTTTTGGAATGACAAATATGATATACTCCTAAACTACTACTAATCCATTTATTTCTTAATTATGTGATTTTAAACGTACAACCACGCTTTTAGCTTATTAATATCCATGTCATAAAAAAAATTCCATGTTACATATTTATCCGATCGTTTTCTTTAAATACTTGCAAATTGGTTAAAATTGAAAGGTAAAATATAATAGGTTATGTTTTTATAAAGAAAAATGTAATGGTTTTTCTCACATAAGAACATAATAGGTTGGACTTTTATGTATATTCTTTTGATAGATTAATTAGATGTGAGATTCATGTATTACATGAGTTTATTTAAAAAATATATGAAAATTTAACAATTTGAGAAGTTTGAATTTATAAGAAAAATGAGAAAATTGAATTATTAAAATTAATAAAGGTTTAATACATTGAATACATTACATATATAAACCATTTCTAATAAATACCTTACATATTAAATGTGCAATTTTAGTTTAATAAAATGAAAAATACAATAAAATGACAAGTGAAAATAGAAAATTCAAAAATTTTAGAAAATATCATTTGTCCAAATAAAGGAGAAAATGACATGTGGCAAAAAGATTTTGATTTATTAAGGAGGACTAGGTCTGAAACCTGTGTATTACATGGGTTGATTTAAAAAATATTAAACATTAAAGTGTAACCAGAAAATATTTGTCAATGTACAACTTTAAAATAAGAAAAGAAGAAACGTATTATTGCAATTTAATATATATATATATATATATATATATATATATATATATAATATTTAATATTTTACATATATAAGTATATGACTTTAATTTTAGAAATTAAAAATAAACCAAAAATTGACAACTGGATAATATTAATTTCAAAAATACCACAAAATAACATGTGTCAAAACTCATGAGAGATTGACATGTGGCAAAAAAAAAACTTTCATTTATTAAGGAGGATTGTGATTATCGATTGAACATCGTGAAACGCATTATCGGTCTTCTCGCAATTGCTATGAAATTTATGGGAAAATGACTTATTAAGGTAATTAACTTTCCAAAATGTTCACATCTGGATAACTATCATTTTTTTTGTACACATCTAGGTAATAAACTTGTTGGAAGTGTTCACATATGACCATTATGACCTACTATAACAGGTTAAATCCTAGATGTGAACGCTTTCAACAAGTTCGTTACCTAGATGTGTACAAAAACCCAAATATAAATAAAACGAAAAGTAAAAGTAAATTACATGAATGGTCCTTGTGGTTTGGGGGAATTTGTGTTTTTGGTCTCTAACTTATTTTTTTAACTTGGATGGTCCCTACTATTTATTTTTACTGCCTTACCTAAAAAGACTATTATGCCCTTATTAATTTATTTTTTTAATTAATTTTCTTAATTATGTATTTATTTTTTACATATTTAAAAAAATTAATAGACCCGACATATTTGTATCTCATCGGATAATCCCAACTATTTATTTTTTAATTTTTTAACTCGGATGATCCCTACTATTTAATTTTGTTACTAGCTTGATCTTTGTCTTACTTAAAAAGACTATTGTGCCCTTATTAATTGTTATTTTTAATTAATTTTCTTATTTATGTATCTATTCTGTATACATAAATACATAAATAAGAAAATTAATCAAAAAATAAATTTATACGGGCATAATAGTTTTTTTAGGTAAGACAAGGACCAAACGCGTAACAAAAATAAACAGCGGGACCATCCGAGTTAAAAAATAAGTTATGGACCAAAAACACAAATTCTCCCAAACCATAAGGACCATTGGTGTAATTTATTTTTACTTTTCGTTTTGTTCAAATTTGGGTAACTATTTTTTTTTTTTACATATCTAGGTAACGAACTTGTTGAAAATGTCAACATCTAGGATTTAACTTGCTATAGCAAGTCATAATGGTTATATGTGAACACTTCCAACCAGTTTGTTACCTAGATGTATAAAAAAAATAGTTACCTAAATTGTGAACATACCGAAAAATTAATTACCTTAATAAGTCATTTTCCCTGAAATTTATTGTAAGAGTTTAGTGATTCACACAAAAATGACTATAAGAGAAGCTAAAATTAATTAAAATAAATGATTTTTTTGTCATAAAATAACTTTTTTTATATATTTATCATAAAGTAACAATTTATTTTGTATAACTTTCTTTGTGAAATTACTTTAATTTGCAAAAATATTTTTCGGATAAACATATATTCTTAAATAGCTTCTGTGATGTGAAATCATGATTTGACTATAACTCTAAGAGTTTGCAAAAGTATTATATTTTTTTCTGCGAGATACTAAAATTCTAGCATAGGATGAAATATCAAAACCAAAGAGTTGATCGGTGTTTTCTGAGTTAACAAGGTTTTAGAGTATATTTCATTTATCCACTTTTGATATTTTTTGTTTTTTTTACAAATAATGTTTATTTAATATTAATTAAAGACAAAGGTTCAGTGGAGTATAGTATTGAGGGAGACGAGAACTATGATTTTTTCCATGGTATTATTAATCGTAAGAGGCGTCAGTTGGCTATCTGTGGTGTTTTGAGGGATGGGATGTGGGTTATTGAGTTGAAGTGTCTTAAGGAAGAATTTTGAGAGTATTTTTAGTCTATTTTTTTCGAAGCAGAGGGGTTCTCAGCCTTCGACTCATCGGACTCACTTCTCCACTTTATTGGATTCTCAAATTCAGATTCTTCAAGCTGTATTTACTCGAGAAGAAATTAAAAGGGTAGTGTGGGATTGTGGCTCATCTAAGGCGTCGTATAAGACCCTGAAATTTAGAGAGATTTGACTTTTAGTCAAATATTGATCAAAATAGAAAATGGTCATTTAGAGGAATTTAGTGAGTTTATGAAGTTGTAACTTCATGAAAATGGACAAGATAAGTCTAAGTTACTTAGATAATGTTAGATGAATAAGTTCAACAGAAAAACGCATGAGAAGATGCATTTTTACCAAAAGGATAGAATGAGAAATTTTATGTCTTAGGCCATCTTTGTGACTTAATAGATTAAGATCCATATTAAGTTTATAAAAAGTGACTTAACAAGATTGTATAGTATGTACCTACATTTATGTGGATATAAAGATCATAGAAAACGAGTTTAAGATGACGAAGATATGGGCGTTGGAGGATTGGAAGAAAATGTCCAAATGCTAGAATGAAATCTGCTAAGGGAGTTGTCAAGCAGCTACCGCAGCTTGGTGAAAGGCTTGCCACACAACAAAGAGGGTGATGGTGATTCAGTTAAGGAGTCTCGTCATAAGAGGAAGGCAACATACATCCACGCGAAGTGGTGAAAGTTGGTTGCTATGGTATAAAGGCATCGTGGCTCAGCAAGAGGTTGACCACGACCTACTTAGGTGCACCAGGATGTGGTAAATGCTTCACCACGACACAATTATGAAAGATATTAATACCTCAGTTAGGTTCATTCTTGTTAAAAACACCCCTTAAACCATACAGTAAGAAGCTCCGACAGTTTGGAGCTAGAGGAAGGATCAAAGGGTGATCTTGGGTGTTTGTGGCTTGGATTAAACATCAAAAGTTCCTGAGGTAATCATCTTCTCCATTTTCAAGCTAGTTAGGGATTTGATGGTGTTTTGGAATATTTGAACTAGTTATGTAAGATTGTGTTAAGAAAAGTTGTTAGTAATGTTAATCAAGTGTTTAGAAGCTTTGAACAAGCTTTATAGGTGATTTCCAAGGTGAAATCTATATATGTAAAGTTAGGTGTAACGCCCGTGTTTCTGGTAAAAGCATTAGTACAGTGATGTAATAGTCAGGGT